AGATATATCGCTTTGCTTTAAGTCAGAAAAATGTGCATTGACATACTGATGTGTGCACTCATCGTTGACTTGTTATATAAGTGCGTCTGTGCAAAAGAATTACCATTCTCGAGGGGCTGCACAGTCGCCTCATAGGCTCGAAAAGCAAGAACCACTTCGTTCCTGAGGCAGCCGTTGCCATTTTCTCCACGGTAGTCCCAGTCGGGCACGGTGTTACTGGCGCAGCCTCCAATCGGACTAAAGGGGAGGTGAAACCTCCCTTGGACAAAGAAAAATATGCCGTTCTTTCTGGTAGGTAATATTTCCCAATCTGACCAAAATTCATGGAAGTGGTTGGCTCCACTTTCGCACATAATCAGCCGAGATTTCACGGCCAACTTGGGTTATAATTACTTACTAAAGCTTCAAGTCTAGTTTTTGCCTACTGTAGCTGGGCACTTTTATGCAAGAATCAACATACTAATTTAAAAAAAACAAGAGAGACATACTAGTAGCACTACTATTTATTTCCTTGTCATATTAACTCATCTATTTAGAAAGTGCATAATTGTCACGTAACAAGTGCTCATAATTTCCTTTGTTTTTGATCATGCAGATTTCTTCAATTATTTCTAAAGCACACCGTTCTGATTGGAGAGGTTGAACAAAAGAAGAAGCTCCCCAATAAAGCATTGACAAATAAAACTAATGACTAGATGAATTAAAAAAATAAGAGAGAATGGCACATCAAATAAAATAGTTTGTTTGATTTTCTTGTTCATATTTGTGTCCTGCTTGCTCTGATGTGCACCTGCCAGTCGGCGAAGCACTGATTCGCTTGTGGGCTTATACAGAGTACAGTGCTACACTTATAGGCTGGTGCACCCATACTGATACACTGATACACCCATAGACTGATACACCTATAGAATGATACAACTCTCAATAAACTGATAGCCCATCAGTTTTTCTATCAGAATTTTTGCTAGAGTAGGGGGGGAGCAGCAAAATACGCATGAAATCGGTCAGTGACATATTCTTCATTATCTTAATACCTAGTATGCATGTGCAATAACTCATTCGGCAAACGTCCAGCTGTCATCGTAGCCATCCGTACAAAACAGCGGTGTCAATCTACACATGTTTGCTACCATTTCTGCCACGCTGGCAGGTTGAAGTAAAATTTGGAGGCTGTGACGTTCAAGGACAACGTGACTCGTCTTACTGCGTCGACTCCACTTTTCAGGAGAGAGCACTGCATACTGCTCCTGGCTGCTTTCGGCGCAGCAAAAGCACTCTCGCTCTACCCATGAATGACAGTGCTCCTGCAGCTGTTCAACCACTAAAACACGCCGGCTCTGAAGAGAGCACTTTAGGCGTGCTTTTGAGTGCTCCTGCTCTCCCAATGGAATTCGCCAATAGACCGATACACCTATAGACTGATACAACTGTCAATAAACTGATAGCCTATCAGTTTTTCTGTGAGCCTAGTTATGATAAAACAAGCTTATTGCGCTTGTTTCATCATAACTAGGCTCATTTAGTTTCAACTTGGCATTATGCAATAAAGGCAAGCTGAGCTGAAAAAACTTAAACTTGTGTGCTTGGATTCATCAGGTTTTGGGAGGCTGGCCACGCTTAGTTATGCTAATAAACCAGTATAAATCACGACGCGAGCCTTGCGCTGGAACCGGCGCCATTGCAGCCATTACGTAAAAAAAAAGGAAAACAACGATACAAATTTGGATGGATAGATTGATGTGGCTGTAACCTTTAGATCAGGCAGCAGCTAACGCCACCTAACCATAATACTTAGTGAACAAACTAGGTTTATCTTTTTTTTATTTAAATAGTTGATTGATATGTGGGGTTTAACGTCCCGAAACCACTATATGATTATGAGAGACACCATAGAAATTACAAAACGCGCTTCAAACGCGCTCAAAGAAAACAGAGACGCTCGTAGTGTGCTCGACATGGAGAAAGGAAATAACTGTAGTCATCGCAACGATTGGAAAAAAAAAGCCTCATATTTCTTTTTCTTTCAAAAACTTACTCCGATTAAAAAAAGTGAACAGAAATATATACATTTAGCGTTAATGTTTGTTTGCTTATCAGTTTTTTTTTTTTTTTTTACCACGCAACCCCCAAAGCTTCCCCAGATCCAAATTACCCGGATAGATTCTGTGAGAAAAGAATGGGTGTTGCTCATCGGGGGTTTAAAAGCGCAGGCAGTTACATGACTTGTTTCACGCTGATAATGAATATTAGGTGTAATTGTCCATAAAGGTTTGCGTTTTGTAACCAAGCCATTATTGCGCATTAAGCCCAAATGTGCCAGTATCGGACAAAATTTGTCTGCATTTGTCAATTTTGCAAGATTAACCAGCATCACATTTGTAGACTTGGATGGTGACCATTTCGATTCAAGTTGCCTTTAACGATGGTTAAGTAGCATTGCGCAGGTTAAGTAGCAGGTTAAGTCTCCCATAGTAGATGCTCTAAATCATTACGCCCTTTCTTTTCTAAACACAAGATATTGCGGGCCCGCCTCGTGCGCGCACCGCATTCTGCCACTGAGTTTGAATCTCTTTGGCGTGATGTCCCTGGCCGAAGGGATGAATCATTAATGATAGAATTTGTACGGCGGTATAATCCTCAAGTATAATTCGATCTGTGGCTGTTGTAGGATATTGTGCGTGAAATGAGTGAACACGTACGACACGTTTTCGAAAGGGCGGTGCTTATTTATTGCGACGAACTTTGAGCACGATGGCTTTTTGGTCGGTAAAGTGAAGAGTGAGTGGATCGGGTTGCAGCGGTCGTAGGTCGAAATTTGCAAAGACGTGGTCGATGCAGGTTCCGCGAATGGTGGTCGGCTGGTGGTGTTTGCAGTCGTCGTACGTTGCGTGTTTCAGCGAGTGTCAGGACGCCATGTATTCGACTATCCAATTGTCCTTGATGACGTCGACGTTGAAGTCGCCAACTAGCATGAACGGTCGATGTTGCGGTTGTTGTTTTCTGTAATCTTGCACGGCCTCGTCGACGTACTTTTGTACGGCGGCACGAGAGAGGTTTGGCGCGAGGTACATCGTCATGACGTCGACGCCACAGACGGTAGCAACGCAGTGCTCGCCGTTGGCGCGTTGTTGAACGCCGGGCTGCACCGACCTTGAGTATATATACAGCGCGACGGCGCATGCACTGTCAGCTGTCTAATGTTCGAGAAGGGGGAAAAGCGCAACGGCGCATGCGCGCGCGTCAGCTGCCGATGTTCTCGAAGCGCGACGGCGCATGCGCGCGCGTCAGCTGCCGATGTTCTCGAAGCGTGACGGCGCATGCGCGCTACATTATACAGCTAGCGAATGTTCGTGAAGAGGAGAAGCGCACGCGGTGTGTAGAGGAGGAAGGGTGCACAGATGGTGGAGGAGTGAAGCGCGCGCGGTGTGTAGAGGAGGAAGGGATGCACAGATGGTGGAAGAAGGAGCAGGAAGCTTGCGGACGGCGCCGCACTTCAAGCCTCGAGTATTAGATGCTCCGCATCTAAAAGGACTTGTGTGCATGTGTGCAAGGCATCGGCAAGTGGAGATATTGAACACTTTGTGGCGCTCTTAACACCTCGGCCATTGCTTTTCGATAAACACATTTATTTACCTGAAAATTATGTCTTCTCACTTGGTTTTAGATTATGCGCGCTAGAATTCGTGCATATTGTGGAAGGACAGCAAGAATGCAGCGTGACAAGATTAGATTAAGAGATGATGCTGTACCCACCTTATTTCCAATCCTACCCAAATATATATCGAAGAGCTTGCCTAAAGAACAAAAATACGAAATGCTGCTTCATCGGACTACGTACCAGCAAAGAAGTGACCCGATAACCCTAGCACGTTGGAGGATTGCCCAAATGACTCGACGAACTGCCAAGGCAGGCGACTAGAGATTGGGATCTAAGGGTACTTCTGTATCCATCGGAGTCTCTGTAAAACCTGGTAGAGTCTATGGAAACCAAGTTGACACATGTGTTTAGCGCAGTGTGCGTGCATTCGAATTTAGTAGCCAGTCTTCTATGATCTCAAAGCAGTTTCCGGAAATTGGCTGCGTTGAACATTGCAAATACTTGAACAAAGAAGTGGTCAGATTAATTTGCGTGACGAGAGCTCTTTTTTTTAAGAGTCTGAACCAAGCAATAAGCGAGAACAATGTTAAGCGATTGAAGCCCAGTGTCACGTAAAAAAATGTCCGTTAGTGACTTACTGTAATAAATTATGCTGCAGCCATAAAACTTAGCATTGGCTCATTTTCTACTCATGCTTCAGAATACTGCCTCAAGCGTAATACAAGTCCAGCATTGAGAAAATAGCAATGCGTCACCGCACTCGGTAATTCGCACTGTCCAACCAGATTTAGCAGCAAGCGTCACAATCTATCACGGGTTAGCACAAGGTTTTGACAAACTAACGTCAACAAAGATACCACATTCCACTAGAGCAAGTTTTTTTTTGACTCCGTTAAGAGGTAGTTCAATGTTATAGAAAATAAAACCGTTTTGGTTTCACCAAGCATATAAAGAGCGGTGCTGTCGGAATGACGCTCCGTCGAAAACTTCGCTCTAATAGAATGTTCGTTCAGCGAAAGATGCGTGTATTCATATTAGGTGAAATCGCTGTTTGGTATTTACTTTGAAAAAACTCTTGTACTGGCGAAAAACTCAAAACGACCATAGCGGGTACATTGCAACGGAGAAAACTGGCAGTGCCTCCGACTACAGCGCCACCACTGCAAGCTCGCGAGTGGGAGCCACTTTGGAGCGGCCGGTTTTGGGTGCGACTGTTCTCACAACAAATCCGTGCAGGGCGGGGCCTCGCCGCGATGACGTAGCCACCATTTTCTTTCTCTCTCCTCTCTCTCCGTTTGACGGCGCGGTACGCGGTCGACGCATTCGCTGTGGTGGCGTGCACTCCACGTGAGCGAGTAGCGTGCAATGTCTTGTTAAGTGGCCGGAAAATCAGAATGCAAAGATGAGCGAGCCTCCTGACCGACAGAAGGTGATCGAAAAGTACGTCCAAGGTTTACGTCATGACGACGGCTACTCTCATGGCTACCTGAAGTCAGACGAAGAGCTAAAGCTTTTTGAGAGGTCCCTGGCTGCCGTCAACGAGAGGTATGCTGTGCGGAAATCAAGAGACCTGAGCAAGTCGTCTAAATGTGAGGATGTCTCAATTGCTTCTTAATGTATTGATCTGCGCGTAAATCTAGCATTGAAACACGCAGTAGTAATTTAAACCAGCTAGGGGCACGGCAGGACAGGCTTGTTCTCAGTTGCGGTTATTGGTTTTCGCCCTTTTGAAGTTAGGGTTAGGTATCATTGTTTTCGTTACCGGTTCGCAGTTCCCCTGGAACCGATTCATTTCGGTGTGAGTGAAGTATCGTTCGGATTACCGGGACATGACCCGATCTTCAGAGATTCTATAAACGTTATTGGAGCTGTAATTGGCGCCTTGTCTGTGTCTGCGTGTTTCTTTGGTCCCCGTTGCTTAGCGCCCCAAATTATTCAGTTGTAACTGAAGTGTATTTTTTCGGTTTTAGTCATGATTAGCACCACGCTAGCAAGCTAATTGTGACACGGCCAGTGCGTGCCATCCGTGGTCCTCCAGGAAGTGTGAATTAGACGTCTAGAGCAAGGCGGGCCTGATGTTGAACGCTGTATATGAGAAGCTGAAGGGTCAGGGTCAAGATTTTTTGCCCAATTATATTAAAATCCCAAAGCCCAACCAAACTGTAACATGTTGGTGCTGCTTGTAAGTTGTAACTTAAAAACCGCATAAAAAGTCTGGGTAATTATTATTAATAATAATAATGATAATTATATTTATTATTCTGATTGACGAAAGCCAGAATTTCTTGCCAGAGGCAGCGCATCTTAAATGTTTTTTGCTGCCATTACACAAAAACTAAAACAAGATGTGATATTGCCCTCTGCCATGCATAAAACTAGGTGCCTTCATTAAATCATCTTTATTGTTTATTTTCAGCCAATGTCGTCTTCTCCATGATCCATTGCGGATCTCGAATCTCTCTAGACAATGTGCCGTTCCGAGTTGTCAAGGAAACCGTCAAAGTGTGCATATTTGGAACGGAGTACTACAAGAAAACTCAGGAGAGAAAAAAAGAACAGGTATGTTACATGGTGATGCACTTCCAAAAGTTTCAATCTCATGCAAATATCCAGCAGTCTTCCAGTTCAAAGATTGTGTGTAGGCAGTGTAAACAAGATTTACTTTAAGTTACTACAAGTTTACACGAGAAATCAATATTGTTAACTTCATTTTATAGAGTTCGGGTACTACTGACTGGCAGAAGGAGGTGTACGAGAAGAAGCTGGTGAACCTCCAAGGCACAAAGAAGAAGGGGTGCGCAGCAACAATGAATTTGAAGTGAATTGAGTTGTACCCAGATTTCCAGGTATGTAATGTGCAATGACAAGTAAAAAATAATTCCAGAATAATTTCTGGGGACCTTTATCATGTCATTTATGATTGTGCAATCCGACACAACACAGTTGATTGAAGATCATTATGGTTTCAAGCAGCGCAACAGATGAGGGCAAAGTCAAGATGAGACAGAAAACAGCGCTCTGTATTTCCACCATTGCCAGTATGTATACACGTGGGAAATAGCAAGATAAACAGAGTGTGAAAGATAAAAATGAGCACAACGCATACAGTCTCGGCATCTAAGCCAAGACTGTATGTGTTTTGTGCTTCGCGCTCTTATTTTGCTATTTCCCACATGTATACATACTGGCAATAGTGGAAATATACTTCCAGCTATTAGTTCAGCGCTGTCCTATGTCTCATCTTGACTTCGCCTCATCTTGTCACACTGTTTGAAACCATAAAATATGATTGATATGTGGGGTTTAACGTCCCAAAACCACCATTTGATTATGAGAGACGTCGTAGTGGAGGGCTCCGGAAATTTTGACCACCTGGGGTTCTTTAACGTGCACCCAAATCTGTGTACACGGGCCTACAACATTTCCGCCTCCATCGGAAATGCAGCCGCCGCAGCCGGGAATCGAATCCGCGACCTGCGGGTCAGCAGCCGAGTACCTTAGCCACTAGAACACCGCGGCGGGGCAAACCATAAAATATGATCTTTGTACTTAACAGTGCCTGCTTTCTAGGTGGATGTACCCCAGCCATGCGGCCAGACAAGAGAGGGTCGTCTGAAAGACGACAAGGCCAAGGAGCTGCAGGAGGCACTTGACGCAGAGCAGCAGACTGTGGCCAAAGAGACGCGGGTATATGTTAGGATTGCCGACTGCAGTTCCCATCAAAACCATGGTTTCGAAGACATGGAAGCTTTCAGCCAAAACATAGACAAGAGCGTCGCTGAGCGAATTCAGATGTTGGCAAGAGAAGGCATTACTTCTGTATCAGATGTGAAAGAGCCTTCTCTCTCTCTCTCTCTCCGTTTGACGGCGCGGTACGCGGTCGACGCGGTCGCTGTGGTGGCGTGCACTCCACGTGAGCGAGAAGCGTGCACTGTCTTGTTAAGTGGCCGGAAAATCGGAACGCAACGATGAGCGAGCCTCCTGACCGACAGAAGGTGATCGAAAAGTACCTCCAAGGATTACGTCATGACGACGGCTACTCTCATGGCTACCTGAAGTCAGACGAAGAGCTAAAGCTTTTTGAGAGGTCCCTGGCTGCCGTCAACGAGAGGTATGCTGTGCGGACATCAAGAGACCTGAGCAAGTCGTCTAAATGTGAGGATGTCTCGATTGCTTCTTAATGTATTGATCTGCGCGTAGATCTAGCATTGAAACACGCAGTAGTAATTTAAACCAGCTAGGGACACGGCAGGACAGGTTTCTTCTCAGTTGCGGTTATTGGTTTTCGCCTTTTTGAAGTTAGGGTTAGGTATCATTGTTTTCGTTACCAGTTCACAGTTCCCCTGGAACCGATTCATTTCGGTGTGAGTGAAGTATTGTTCGGATTACCGGGACATGACCCGATCTTCAGAGATTCTATAAACGTTATTGGAGCTGTAATTGGCGCCTTGTCTGTGTCTGCGTGTTTCTTTGGTCCCCGTTGCTTAGCGCCCCAAATTATTCAGTTGTATCTGAACTGTATTTTTTTCGGTTTTAGTCATGATTAGCACCGCGCTAGCAAGCTAATTGTGACACGGCCGTGCGTGCCATCCGTGGTCCTCCAGGAAGTGTGAATTAGACGTCTAGAGCAAGGCGGGCCTGATGTTGAACGCTGTATATGAGAAGCTGAAGGGTCAGGGTCGAGATTTTTTGCCCAATTATATTAAAATCCCAAGGCCCAACCAAACTGTAACGTGTTGTGCTGCTTGTAAGTTGTAACTTAAAAACCGCATAAGAAGTCTGGGTAATTATTAATAATAATAATGATAATTATATTTATTATTCTGGTTGACGAAAGCCAGAATTTCTTGCCAGAGGCAGTGCACCTTAAAGCTTTTTTGCTGCCATTACACAAAAACTAAAACGAGATTTGATATTGCACTCTGCCATGCATAAAACTAGGTGCCTTCATTAAATCATCTTTATTGTTTATTTTCAGCCAATGTCGTCTTCTCCACGATGCACTGCGGATCTCGAATCTCTCTGGACAATGTGCCGTTTCGAGTTGTCAAGGAAACCGTCAAATTGTGCATATATGGAACGGAGTACTACAAGAAAACTTGGGAGAAAAAAAAAGAACGGGTATGTTACATGGTGATGCACTTCCAAAAGTTTAATCTCATGCACATATCCAGCAGTCTTCCAGTTCTAAGATTATGTGTAGGCAGTGTAAAGAAGATTTACTTTAGGTTACTACAAGTTTACACGAGAAATAAATATTGTTAACTTCATTTACAGAGTTCAAGTACCACTGACTGGCAGAAGCAAGTGTACGAGAAGAAGCGGGTGAACCTCCAAGGCACAAAGAAGAAGGGGTGCGCAGCAACAATGAATTTGAAGTGGATTGAGTTGTACCCAGATTTCCAGGTATGTAATGTGCAATGACAAGTAAAAAATAATTCCAGATTAATTCCTGGGGACCTTTATCATGTCATTTATGATTGTGCAATCCGACACAACACAGTTGGTTGAAGATCATTATGGTTTCAAGCAGCGCAACAAGATGAGGGCAAAATCAAGATGAGACAGAAGACAGCGCTCTATATTTCCACCATTGCCAGTATGTATACACGTGGGAAATAGCAAGATAAACAGAGTGTGAAAGATAAAATGAGCACAACGCATACAGTCTTGGCATCTAAGCCAAGACTGTATGTGTTTTGTGCTTTGAACTCTTATTTTGCTATTTTCCACATGTATACATACTGGCAATAGTGGAAATATACTTCCAGCTATTAGTTCAGCGCTGTCTTGTGTCTCATCTTGACTTTGCCCTCATCTTGTCGCAATGTTTGAAACCATAAAATATGATCTGTGTACTTAACAGTGCCTGCTTTCTAGGTGGATGTGCCCCAGCCATGCGGCAAGACAAGAGAGGGTCGTCTGAAAGCCGACAAGGCCAAGGAGCTGCAGGAGGCACTTGAGGCAGAGCAGCAGACTGTGGCCAAAGAGACGTGGGTATATGTTAGGATTGCCGACTGCAGTTCCCATCAAAATCATGGTTTCGAGGACATGGAAGCTTTCAGCCAAAACATGGACAAGAGCGTTGCTGAGCGAATTCAGATGTTGGCAAGAGAAGGCATTACTTCTGTATCAGATGTGAAAAAGTGCCTTCACTATTATGTGCATGGCGTACTTTTTGCGAACAAGGAGAAGCCTGATAGCAGCTGCAGGGCCTTTTTTCCAACACATCGTGACATCAGCAACCAGATCCAAGCTGTGCTTAAAAAAGACCGCTTCAGCACAGTTGATCAAGAGAATGCTAGAATCCTAATTGAAAAGATCAGGGGTGAGCAACCCGAATCCTCCGTTGTCTATCGGCCGTATGCAGCACGCAGCTTCGTGGGTAGCAGCGACTCAGACAACGTGGAAGAGGGCGTTGCCAGCGAGTGTGAAGACACGTTGCTGTTTTGCTTTCAAACAAAATTCATGAGGAGCATGCTTAAAAAGTACAAAGGCTCAGTAGTTTTCCTGGACGCAACGCACAAGACGAGTGACTACGCCCTACCACTTTTCTTGCTTGTCGGGAAAACACCGTCGGGATACACACCAGCTGGTGTGTTTATCATACAGTTCGAGACGGCCCACTGTATCGCTGAGGCTTTAGACGGTTTTCAAGCAGTGGTGTGACAACTGGTCCCCACAATACTGGATGGTGGATTATAGCAAGGCAGAAATAAGTGCCATCAAGCAAGTGTTTCCACAGAGTCAAATCTCCATCTGTGACTTCCATAGACTACAGGCATGGCAGAGGTGGCTGCGCAGAAAGGAAAACAACATATCCAATCCAGATGAGGCCCTGAGACTCATGAAACACGTAGCCAGTGCTTCAAATCAGCATGACTTCGACAAGGCGGTTGAAGTCCTTGTTGACTTTGAGTATTGGAAAAACGAAAGATTCCGCAGTTACATTGAAGAAGTGTGGCTGTCAGTAAAGGAGCTGTGGATCATGTCTTACAGGCTGGAGTTTGACGTTGTGTTGACCACAAATAACGGCATTGAGGCCCAAAACCGCGTGTTGAAGGCACATTACGTGAAAAGTTCCAGCGAGAAACGGTCGTTAACATCCCTGATCATGACTGTCGTTCATGACTTCCTTCCCGACAAAGAAGTGAAATTCCATGAGGCAGCAAGGAGGCAGTCATCAGCGTACAGACAGTACAATGAAAATGTTCCTGCATACCTGCACAACCGGCCTCATGGGTTCGTTAAGCATATGCTGAGATGGCTCGTTAAAGCAGAGGAATACACCCCCACAGACATGGAAGAGCTCCCCGTTGAAGGTGTGTTTACGGTTCATTCTGAAAGAAGTGATGATGATCTGTACACTGTCGACTTCACCAAGCCATCGTGTACCGGCCGTGATTTCAGGAAGCACAAGTACCCATGCATGCACTTTTGTGTTGTTTTTAAGTACAGCGACAGGTGGGGCTTTTTTTCTCTTCCGCAGATTTACCTCAATCGACCGCAAATTACTCTTGGAAGCTGTCCAGAATCCGAAACAAGTTCCGAAATTCCCCTTGTCAATCAGCCCAGCCCTTCTGAAGTGTCTTCACAGGATCTTGGTACAGCAGCATCAGAGTCAGACATTCCCTTTGTCAATGAGACCAGCTTTTGTGAAGTGCCTTTACAGACTGGGGTTGCTATGATTCCTGGGACAGCAGCCCCCTCAGTGTCGGAGCTACACAAAAGTATCACCAAGGAATTGGAAAAGTGCAGTTCCCTCCTTTACTGCTGCCATGACGTTCAAACACTGGTGGATGCTAGGGGCTTATTGCAAGCCACCTTCCGTAAGCTGGCTGAATCTGTGCCACAGAGTTCTGGCCTTCACATTCGGGGCTCACCGACAAAAGGATGCTGGTCTCTGAAGCCTCTTCCGAAAAGAAGACGCCTATAGTGTGCTGTCACTCTGCCATTGACTGGAGCTTTGACTGCTAGGAAAGGATCGGGGGAAATGGTAGAGATGGACCACTCGGTGATTTTTTTTCTATTCTTTTTAAAAAATTGCAATTGTTGCAAAACTCAATTTATTTTACTATTCATAACTTTGGCCTAAACACAGTGTTCGAACATCTTTGTCAATAATTTTTAGAATGTTTAGAGTTTTTAAGATTAATATGGTATGTTTTATACTAGACTTCATTATAGTCATGCAATTGTGACATTGGCAACGACTGTGTATGTGTATAAATGCAGCCGTAATTTTTTGTGTTGGTGATACTCTCAATTCAGAGAGTGTGTGAAAGTATGTTTTTACGCTTCTGCTTTCAATCTATGTTTATAAAACTGTTTGTAAAGTTGCATTCTTTCTGTACTTGCTACGGACGTGCTTGCTTTTATACTTTCCTTTTGACATTTTAATATATTACCTGTTGTATGTGAACACGTGTTGGTACATTTTTTCTGGTGGTCATTTCAAGATGTATTCATAGCGTGCTTGTAATATTCATAGACCGTAAATAAACCAAATGTGAGAGAATGCGTAATGTGCACAAAAAGTTTACTGTGAAAATGTGTTACCTACACAGCAGAGCAATTTCATCAAGACTGCTTCAACAGCTGTGACCGGTTGATGTAGAGGCTGGGCAAACAAAGTGGCCTTTTTTAAGGGCAACCATGGGAACTCCCCCTCAGTGAAACGCTTTAGGTATACATATTGATACTGTAAAGGAAAGTTTGACATCCACCTAAATGTGGATGTCAAACTTTCTTTTGCAGAAGCTTACTCCACCTTGAGGGTTTCCCCTAAATCTGGTCTATATTGATGCTACTGACTTGGGCGAGCTGCTTAATTATTCAATCTGAAAACTTTTTAAATGCCACCATATGGGAATGGGGATATAAAAAGGGGTTGCATAAGGAACACGAATGCTCAAGAAAATAATACAGGAAGGTGATCGTCTCAACTTAGCATTTATCAGCTAGTATTTTTGAACTAAAGTCTTTAACATGTACATTTAGTATCATGAAACTAGAAATAGTCAACGTAGAGCTGCCTAGTTTTTGCCCGTCATGTATACAAAACACGCAACCGAATGTATGGTGCATACTACATACCCTTTCCATGCAAAGGAGAGAAGCCTCATGAACCCTCTTCTTTGTGCCTTGGAGGCTTGTTCACTTTTTCCGTACACTCCTTCGGCCAATCAGCGGTACTTGCATGCTGTAAATGAAATAAAGAATATTTATTTTTGGTGTTTTTGCATGTTAACAGACACAAAGGTCGGCTTTGATAAGTGCAAAAAAAAGCCCATGTTTTTATAGTTCACACCAGGGATGTAGCCATGATTTTCTTTCGCTCGCAACTACTGATGCGGGGGAGGCATGGCAAAACGTCAAAGGTGGGAGAGGAGGTAGAAGAGGTCCCAGCAAAACTGAACATTTCGGTGTGCAGCGACCCCCAGCTGTGTGTCTCCTTCACAGTCATAATGCTCTTGGGCTTTTCCTAAATGTATTCATTGGCTAGAAATACCCTAAGGGCCCCAAAAGGGCATATGTATAAGGGAAAATACGTTAAATACAGCTGCCGCAAAGTATGCACCTTACACTGCCTGCACACAATCTTTGAACCGGAAGGCTACTGCATATCTGAATTAGATTGAAACGTTTGCAAGTGCATCGCGATGTAACATATTTGGTCTTCTTTTTCTCCTGTGTCTTCTGCTAGTATTCCATTCCAGATATGCATACTTTGACGGTTCCCTTGACAACTGGAAACAGCACTATGTCCAGAGGGATTCGAGATCCGCAGTGGATCACGAAGAAGACGACATTGGCTTAAAATAAACAATAAAGAGGATCTAATGAAGGCACCTAGTTTTATGCATGGCAGAGGGCTATATCAAATCTCGTTTTAGTTTTTGTGTAATGGCAGCAAAAAAAACTTTAAGATGCACTGCCTCTGGCAAGAAATTCTGGCTGGCTTTCGTCAACCAGAATAATAAATATAATTATCATTAATATTATAATTACCCAGACTTTTTTTGTACGGCGTTTAAGTTACAGCTTACAAGCAGCACCAACACGTTACAGTTTGGTTGGGCCTTGGGTTTTTAATACAACACTACAAAAAAGCTCGACGCTGACGCTTCAGCTTTTCATACGAGTTCAACATTGGGCCTGCCTCGCTCTAACGTGTAATTCACACTTTTAGCAGGACCAGGGATGGCACATACGGATGTGTCACGAATAACCAAACCACAATTCGTGTCTCGTGTTGCGCACGATTGCTTTTTCGGTGTTGAAAATAACATAAATGTTAATTCTGAAACGCACAAATGGAAACAAAATAAACGCCCTAGCGCAGCTCTGCCTTGAATTCAAGGCAATTATCTCAAGAGCACAGGAGCAGAATAGATAAGGTATGTGACCCTATGGCAGACCTATGGGAAACTGAACCGGCAACCAGAACAATAATAACCCGACCTTCAAACAGGCGAAAACCAATCAATTGTCTAGTGTTGCACTAACCGCAACTGCAAACAAGCCTGTCCCGCCGTGTTGAGTCCCTTCATCTACGTGTTTCAATGCTAAATCTACGCGCAGAGCAAAACATTAAGAAGCAATCGAGACATTCTTACATTTAGGTCTCTTGATGTCCGCACAGCATACGTCTCGTTGACAACAGCCAAGGACCTCTCAACAGCTTAATATTCAACAGCTTAATATGACAAGACAGCGCACGCCGCCACAGAACAGGGAGACGCCGCGCACAGCATACAGCCACAGAACAGCACACAGCGAACCAAGTCTAGGTGGTGTTGAGCGAACGCGCTGCCAAACAGAGAGGGAGGGAGAGAGAAAAAAAAAAGGAAATGGTGGCTACGTCATCGCGGCGAGACCCCACCCTGCACAGATTTGTTGGGAGAACAGTCGCACCCGCCGGTTTTCACACCTCTTAATTCTAGCCACCCTAGCCGTGTGTTGCAGCTGCCATAGACACTAGCGCCAGAGTTTCCTCTAGTGTATATTGAGAAACTATATGTCCCACTAGGTGCTTTTCTCACGACCACGTGCGGCCTAGGTACCATATTGCGCGAACATCTCTAGGCACTTTAGTCACAGAACACCTACCAGTTTGGAGAACGGAAACTGTACCTTTGGGCTGTTGTATCAAAATGCACTGGTCCTGGCGGGATACACAATGCATTCTTAGTTTGCTACTCCATTTGGTCATCCAGATATCTGACGATCATATTCAACAAATCTTTATCTTCTGGCACTGTCGGAGCTACACAAAAGTATAACCGAGGAATTGGAAAAGTGCAGTTCCCTCCTTTACTGCTGCCATGACGTTCAAACACTGGTGGAGGCTAGGGGCTTATTGCAAGCCACCTTCCGTAAGCTGGCTGAATCTGTGCCACAGAGTTCTGGCCTTCACATTCGGGGCTCACCGACAAAAGGATGCTCGTCTGTGAGGCCTCTTCCGAAAAGAAGACGCCTATAGTGTGCTGTCACTCTGCCATTGACTGGAGCTTTGACTGCTAGGAAAGGATCGGGGGAAACGGTAGAGATGGACCACTCGGTGATTTTTTTTTTCATTCTTTTCAAAAAAATTGCAATTGTTGCAAAACTCAATTTATTTTACCATTCATAACTTTGGCCTAAACACAGTGTTCGGACATCTTTGTGAATAATTTTTAGAATGTTTAGAGCTTTTAAGATTAATATGGTATGTTTTATACTAGACTTCATTATAGTCATGCAATTGTGACATTGGCAACGACTGTGTATGTGTATAAATGCAGCCGTAATTTTTTGTGTTGGTGATACTCTCAATTCAGAGAGTGTGTGAAAGTATGTTTTTAGGCTTCTGCTTTCAATCTATGTGTATAAAACTGTTTGTAAAGTTGCATTCTTTCTGTACTTGCTACGGACGTGCTTGCTTTTATACTTTCCTTTTGACATTTTAATATAGTACCTGTTGTATGTGAAAGCATGTTAGTACATTTTTTCGGGTGGTCATTTCAAGATGTATTCATAGCGTGCTTGTAATATCCATAGACTGTAAATAAACCAAATGTGAGAGAATGCGTATTGTGCACAAAAGTTTACTGTGAAAATGTGAAGTATGGTTACCTACACAGCAGAGCAATTTCATCAAGACTGCTGCAACAGCTGTGACCGGTTGATGTAGAGGCTGGGCAAACAAACTGGCCTTTTTTTTTTTAGGGCAACTATGGGAACTACCCCCTCAGTGAAACGCTTTAGGTATACATATTGATACTGCAAAGGAAAGTTTGACATCCACCTAAATGTGGATGTCAAACTTTCCTTTGCAGAATCTTACTCCACCTTGGGGGTTTCCCCTAAATCTGGTCCATATTGATACTACTGACTTGGGCGAGCTGCTTAATTATTCAATCTGAAAACTTTTTAAATGGCACCATATGGGAATGGGGATATAAAAAGGGGTTGCATAAGGAACACGAATGCACAAGAAAATATTACCGGAAGGTGATCGTCTCAACTTAGCATTTATCAGCTAGTATTTTTGAACTAAAGTCTTTAACATGTACATTTAGTATCGTGAAACTAGAAATAGTCAACGTAGAGCTGCCTAGTTTTTGCCCGTCATGTATCCAAAACATGCAACCCAATGTATGGTGCATACTACATAGCCTTTCCATGCAAAGGAGAGAAGCCTCATGAACTCTATTCTTAGTGCCTTGGAGGTTTGTTCACTTTTTCCGTACACTCCTTCGGCCAATCAGCGGTACTTGCATGCTGTAAATGAAATAAAGAATATTTATTTCTGGTGTTTTTGCATGTTAACAGACACACAGGTCAGCTTTGATAAGTGCAAAAAAAAAAAAAAGCCCATGTTTTTATAGTTCACACCAGGGATGTAGCCATGATTTTCTTTCGCTCGCAACTACTGATGGGGGAAAGGCATGGCAAAACGTCAAAGGTGGGAGAGGAGGTAGAAGAGGTCCCAGCAAAACTGAACATTTCGGTGTGCAGCAACCCCCCGCTATGTGTCTCGTTCACAGTCATAATGCTCTTGGGCTTTTCCTAAATGTATTCATTGGCTAGAAATACCCTAAGGGCCCCAAGAGGGGCATATGTATAAGGGAAAATACGTTAAATACAGCTGCCGCAAAGTATGCACCTTACACTGCCTGCACACAATCTTTGAACTGGAAGGCTACTGCATATCTGAATGAGATTGAAACGTTTTCAAGTGCATCACGATGTAACATATTTGGTCTTCTTTTTCTCCTGTGTCTTCTGCTAGTATTCCATTCCAGATATGCATACTTTGACGGTTCCCTTGACAACTGGAAACGGCACATTGTCCAGAGGGATTCGAGATCCGCAGTGGATCACGAAGACGACATTGGCTGAAAATAAACAATAAAGAGGATTTAATGAAGGCACCTAGTTTTATGCATGGCAGAGGGCAATATCAAATCTCGTTTTAGTTTTTGTGTAATGGCAGCAAAAAAACTTTAAAATGCGCTGCCTCTGGCAAAAAATTCTGGCTGGCTTTCGTCAAACAGAATTATAAATATAATTATCATTATTATAATTACCCGGACTTTTTTCGTAGGGCGTTTAAGTTACAGCTTACAAGCAGCACCAACACGTTACAGTTTGGTTGGGCCTTGGGTTTTAATTACAACACTACAAAAAAGCTCGATGCTGACGCTTCAGCTTCTCATATGAGTTCAACATCGGGCTTGCCTCGCTCAAGTAATTTACAGGGGAAGTGCGTTCGACGACACGGTAGGGGCCTTCGTATTTGGGCAATAGTTTTGAAGATAGGCCAGTTGAAGTGGTAGGGATCGAGAGCCAGACGAGCGCTCCAGGGAGGAACATGGGCGCAGTAGTGCTGGTGTCAGCGCGAATGCCTTTTTGCCGCTCTTGATCATGCGCTGTAAAGGTCCTTGCGAGCTCTCGACACTCTTCAGCAAGCTTGGCTGTAGCAGAAATAGGCGCCCACTCTGACGGATCTGGCTTGTACGGAAGTATAGTGTCGATGGTGTGCGACGGGTGCCTTCCATATAATAAAAAGAAAGGTGAAAAGCCAGTAGTGCTCTGAGGGGCGGTGTTATATGCGTAGGTGACGAAGGGTAGAATGGAATCCCAATTTGTGTGATCGGCGGCGACGTACTTGGAGAGCATGTCGCCGAGCGTACGGTTGAAGCGTTCAGTAAGGCCATTCGTCTGCGGGTGGTAAGCAGCAGTTTTGCGGTGAACAACGTTGCACTCTTTGAGAATGGCTTCGACGACTTCAGACAGGAAGACGCGGCCTCGATCACTGAGCAGTTCCTGAGGTGGACCGTGTCGCAGCATGAATCGTTGGAGCAGGAAGGAGGCCACATCGCTCGCTGTAGCCGCGGGGAGAGCGGCAGTTTCGGCGTATCGCGTGAGGTGGTCCACAGCAACAATGGCCCAGCGGTTACCGGCCGACGTTAGTGGAAGTGGCCCATACAAATCAATGCCAACGCGCCCAAACGGCCTGGCAGGGCAAGGTAGAGGTTGCAGACCTACCGGCGACAGGTGCGTTGAAGTTTTGCGGCGCTGACATTCTATGCAGGAGCGAACGAATTTCTGCACATAGCGGTACATGCCGCGCCAAAAGTACCGTTGGCGAATGCGCTGGTAAGTCTTCGATACGCCGGAGTGCGCACATTGCGGATCAGTATGAAAGAATTCGCATATGTCAGAGCGCAGACTGCGGGGTATGACTAGTAGCCACTGGCGGCCGTCACCGCTGTAATTGCGTCGGTGGAGAAGGTCGTCGCGAACGGCGAAATGGTGGGCTTGACGACGCAACGCGCGAGTGGATGGAGTGGATGGATCAGTCAGCAAGTCTATCAGTGAGGCAATCCATTGATCCTTGCGCTGTTCAGTAGCAACGGCATGAATGCTAATGGAAGAAACGGCAAGGTGAGACGCTGAGTCGTGGGCATTGTCGTCAGGCAAGGGAGAGCGCGACAGGGCGTCGGCGTCAGCATGTTGCCTTCCGTTGCGGTACAGCACGCGGATGTCGTAGTCTTGCAGGCGAAGTGCCCACCGGGCGAGACGGCCTGAGGGATCTTTCAATGAGGACAACCAGCATAGTGCGTGATGGTCGGTGACTACATCAAATGGGCGACCATATAAATAAGGTCGGAACTTGGTAAGGGCCCACGATTGCCAGACATTCTTTCTCAGTGACGGTGTAATTAGTCTCGGCTTTTGTAAGCGTACGGCTTGCATACGCCACGACATATTCCGGGAACCCTGGTTTGCGCTGCGCAAGGACAGCGCCGAGACCGACACCACTGGCGTCCGTGTGTACCTCTGTAGGGGCAGTAGGGTCGTAGTGGCGGAGTATGGGAGGCGACGTCAGTAAACGACGGAGCGTTGTGAATGCGTCGTCACACTGTGATGACCACGAATGGAGAGGCCCGTTACTACCGAGGAGTTTGTCAGCGGCGATGCGATAGACGCGAAGTTTCGGATGAAGCGCCGAAAGTAGGAACACAGTCCTAAGAAACTGCGCAGTTCCTTGATGGATGTCGGCTTGGGGAACTCGGTCACGGCCCGAAGCTTGGCTGGATCGGGGAGAATTCCGTCCTTGGACACGACGTAGCCGAGTATTGTCAACTGCCGAGCTGCAAATCGGCACTTCTTCAGGTTCAGTTGCAGACTGGCGTCACTCAGACGCGTTAAAACATGCCGCAGGCGTTGAAGGTGCGTTGAGAAGTCCGGAGCGAAAACGACGACGTCATCGAGGTAGCACAGGCACGTGTGCCATTTCAGGTCACGCAGGACGGTATCCATCATGCGCTCAAAGGTGGCAGGCGCATTGCACAGCCCAAACGGCATGACGTTGAATTCGTACAAGCCGTCGGGAGTGACGAAAGCGGTCTTCGGTCGAGCGTCCTCAGCCATAGGTACTTGCCAGTACCCTGAGCGCAAATCTAGAGATGAAAAAAATTCGGCTCCTTGCAGGCTGTCAATCGCGTCATCCACACGCGGTAGTGGGTACACGTCCTTACGAGTGATCTTGTTGAGACGTCGGTAGTCCACACAGAACCGCACAGAACCGTCCTTCTTCGCGACGAGAACGACAGGAGATGCCCAGGGGCTGTTAGAGGGTCGAATAACATCGCGGCGTAGCATGTCGTCCACTTGCTCGTTGATTACACGGCGTTCTGTGGGAGATACGCGATATGGACGTTGCCGTAGTGGTGGTTGTGCGCCTGTGTCAATGCGATGCGTAACAGTGGATGTGCGGCCGAGAGAAGGTTGAGAGACATCGAAAGAAGAGCGGAATTCTTCCAACAGGGCCAGAAGCTGGGAGCGCTGGACCGGCGTAAGGTTGTCGGCAATGGAAGGACCAAATACATCAGCGGATGATGAAACAGTAGATGTAAAACAGCACTAAGCGTATTGGAACTTCGGCAGTGCGTGTCATCAGGTTGATCCATGACTTGTGCGTCTTCGATGGGTTCCACGCTGCCGAGACATTCCCCTCGCACCAACGTAACACTGTACGGGGATGAGTTCAGAACAAAAATAGTGGTGCTGCCGCGAGTTACTTGCACGGTCGCGAAAGGAACCAGCAAACCTTTTCTGGTGAAAACACGATGAAATGGTGAGAGGAGTGCAGCGGTGTCTGAAAGACTTGCACAGTACACCGACACCGCCGCGGACGAGTTTGCAGGCACTTGCGTGTCGTCCCTGACGAGTAATTTGCTTGCAGTAGATGGACTGTCGGCCGGCGTCAAAGAAGAGAATGGTGTTAGCTCTATTTCTGCTGGTGCGCAATGAATGACGGCGTCGTGGCGGGAGAGAAAATCCCATCCTAGGATGACGTCGTGAGAGCATGAAGGAATTATGATGAATTCAACGGCATACATCACGTCCTGAATCATGAGGCGGGCTGTACACATCGCTGTAGGGTGAATGCTTTGGGCGCTGGCTGTACGGAGGGAGAGCCCGGAAAGTGGCGTGGTCACTTTGCGCAGTAATCGGCTAAGCTTTGCGTCCATCACGGATACGGCGGCTCCAGTATCTACAAGGGCAGATGCACGAACACCATCCACAAGCACGTCTATCACGTTCGATGGTCTTTCCTGAGGGCTTCCGCAGTTCGACAGCGTCGCAGCCCTTGCCTCGTGGACTGCGACGACTAGTTTTCCTGGTCACCCTCTAGTGGACGTGGCCGCATCGGCGACAGTGAGCGACGTCGCGGAGAATGTGAGCGGCGGGTAGATGGAGCGGGGCGGGACGACGGTGACGTAGGTGGCGGTTGGTCATAAAGCGGCTCGATTGGCTGGGAAAATTGGAGGCGACTTGCGGTCGCTGCACACGATTGCAGTAGCGTGCTACGTGCCCGACGCAACCACAAGCAAAGCAGATGGGGCGATTGTCCGCAGTGCGCCATCGGTTCGCGGGTCCCATCCATGTCGAAGAACGCGATGGGCGAGCCGGCTGCTGATATAACTGCATAGTGGGCGGCACACGGGGCACGTGGATGACGTCGGTATATGTAGGCGGCACAGTTTCTCCGAAGGCCTGGGGTCTGGCGATGGTTTCGGTGTAACCAAGAGGGCCAGTCACAGGAATCGGTGGGGGTGGCCTGGCGACAACTTGGGCGTAACTGAGTGGTGTAGATACTGGAGGCGGCTGGTGATATTCTGGAACGACCTCCGCGATTTCCTGCTGAATGGCTCGGCGGAGGGGAGGCAGAAGTGTGCTTGACGACTGTTCAGCACGTTGCGGGGAAGCAAAGGCCAGTAAAGAGACCTGGCGGGCAACTTCTTCACGCACGAATGACTTGATTTCAGCAAGCAAGGCGGTGTGGTCCGGAAGTGTTGACAAGGCCGAGAGATCAGCGTCACGTGAGGGTGGTCGACGGGTCATCGAGCGCTGCCGTCGCAGCTCCTCGTAACTTTGGCAAAGTGTAATGATCTCTGCCACAGTGCGAGGGTTCTTGGCCAGGAGCATGGTGAAGGCATCGTCGGCGATGCCTTTTAGAACATGGGTAATTCTGTCGGCCTCTGACATGCTCGCGTCCACTTTCTTGCACAAGTCAAGGATGTCCTCTATGTAGCTTGTGAAGGACTCACCGGTCTGCTGTGCTCGTTCACGTAACCGCTGTTCGGCTTGGAGCTTACGAACGGCAGGACGGCCGAACACGTCGACGACGGCGGTTTTAAAAGCGGACCAAGTGGGGAAATCGGATGCGTGGTTGTTGTACCACATGCCGGCCACACCCGCGAGGTAGAAAACCAGGTTGCCGAGTTTACCTGCCTCGTCCCAATGATTGGGGACGCTGACGCGTTCGTACATAGCAAGCCAGTCCTCGACGTCGGTGCCATCCGCGCCGGTGAAGACAGGAGGGTCCCGGATGCGGGGAACACCGGAACATGGCGT